AAAAACAATAATGTGCCATTGGTACCTTGAACATTTTACTCTAAGCAAAAATAGCATTAAATTTATTTTATTATTAAGTTATTAAATTAATTGAGTTATAACCAATTTAATATAAGATGTTCAAAAACAAAGAGGCCAATTATATAACATAATAAGTGTACTTATATATTTATTTCAGCACAATATATCGGTTTTTATTAGAAAAAGCATTAATYATATCAGTATTATTGATCTGTTTTGCCAAATCTTTTTCAATATTGATAATACATAGAAAGGTCATTGAATCTATTTTCARCCATTGTAGATCGCATCCAAGTTTTTATTCGGTTTATTGTAGAAAAAATTGTGAGAGCCAGGGGGGCTAAGACCTGTACTTTAAAATTCTGAGGGGGCTTAGTCCCCTCTAGCCCCCCCCCCCCCGATTTCTGCCTATGTATATGTAACAAATTGTTGTTGTCGATACTTGTAATGATTAATTTAACTACAACTAAAACATTATAATATATCATCATCATTGGAGCAATGGAATGGAAAATAACTTTTGTCAGTTTTATATTTATATTATTAATGTTTAAAATTTTAATTAAACAACTGTTTCTAAAAATATGAAAATCCATTTCAATGTTAATCATAAATCAAATAGTATAAAAGGTACTTTTTTATATTTCCTTTGACTCCTTTGTGGACTCAACAATCTGCTCAAATATTTTGATACAGTCATTTTCTAAGAAATAAGAAATCAATTATCTACTTGAAACACGGTTCTATGATAATATAAAACTCGTTATAAAAAATGTATTTTATTCTCTATTTTTCACTCTGACATTTTTAAGTGTAAATAACTACTTCACTGTCTTCTCTTAATCGAACCAATATTAAATTGTTATAATAAAAATGAAAAACTAAAAACACTAGATTTTTTAAATAATCATAAATTTTTTGAAAACATAATTACTTTAATGTTTTCGTCACATCCATTAATGAAATTCACCATTTCATGAAAAGTTATCCAATTCATAAAGTGGAAACCGTTTTTTCCACTTAATGAAGTAGTWAAACATTTTAATAGATACTACTTGTACAAGTTATACTCTATACATATTATCGATGGATACTAATTGAAAGTAAACCTGAACATACTTAGTGAATCACTCTCTAAATACAAATATAATACCAAAAATAAAATCAATTTACACGCTTGTTCTTTTTCTCCCATTTACATCACCGCCAT